TTTGATATCATTAACTGCCCCCAAAATTAATTAAATAAGATAATGAAATTAAAGTGGTTAGGACAGTTCTTGGCATATAGTAAGCATTCAATTGATGTTAACAGTTGTTATCTATATTTAATAATAATATAATTATAAAGTAAATGATTGTTAAATGGAAAAGTCAGTCAATCTCTCACACCATAGGTTGAGAAACAAGGAAGTTGATTTGAGATCAAATTTTGTGCTATATTTTAGAAATTGCAGTGTTCCAAACATATTTGAGTCTCTCAGATGCCACAAGCATCTGGTTTTCACTTATATCTATAAAGATTATTTAATTAGAACATAAATAAGTGTGTTGAAATTGAAAAGAAACAGAAACTCTCATTCATCTTGGCTAGGAATATAACCTTGAGTAAATATTTTGAAAAGCAATTCCTCGGTATCACATGAAGTTGAAGATGCATATGCTCATGGCTCAGCAAGTCTATTCTTAGAAATACTCACCAGAGCAATTCTTAACATTTGTACACAAATGGCACGTATAAAAATATTTATTAGAGTGCTATGTATGATAGCAAAATACTATACAGATATGAATATGAGTAAGATGCGCTACAAGAATCAATGTGGATTAATTTCAAAAGTACAATGTTGAGAGGAAAAAAGCAAGTTGCAGATGGATAATGTACCCTGTAATGTTTATATAACATTTTCAACACTCAAAACAATGTTATATACTATTTATGGATATTTTCACACAGCAGTGGAAAGACTAAAACATAAAAATAAAAACAGATAAAGGAATAAAACCACCCAACGGAGAGAAAATCTACAGACAGGATAGCAGTAACCATGGAAGTGGGAGGAGAAAAGTAAGATCAGGGGAGCCCTTAATTTAAAAAAAACTTATATTTTACTTGTGAAGCTGGATGGTGAGTACACAGTCTTTGTGATATCTTTCTATCTTAAAATATCTACTACTTATTGCATTTTTAAGGAAAACATCTAAATTGAGTGCTTTTCCCCAATGGAAACAGAAGACACACAAATTCCCCTCTACCACTCCTGGAAATTATTGCTGGCGGCTATTCTCCTGGCTAGAAATGAATATGTTTTTGCTTATTCTGAGAAAGAACCCTATTAAGAAGTCCCATCTCTGAGCAAGGCGGTAGCTACTGTAATCAAGAGAGAACCCCCAAGAAAAAGTAAAATCTGGGGAGGACATAGTCAACCTGCTCTTCCTTCCCCTTCTCATGCCTAGATGCCTGCACACTCTCCTCAGCATTCCTCCCTGAGCGGGCCAGGAGGAAGAGCAGAGCTACGTTGCATTTTCATGATCAGGGCGCTCACAGTCTCCATTTCTCTGGCTAACTCCGAGGGCTCTCCAGAATTCCAATCCCACGTGATAACAATGCAGTTTCCTTTTCCACTGCAACGTCAACCCATCAGGCAATTTCAAACTGCCTGAAGTAAAAGGAACAATTCCCTCACAAGAACTAGCTCCCTCTCTTTTGCTTCAGTGTCATTGTCATTCTCTCGGGCCACCAAACTTAAAAACTCAAGATCATCTTGCCTGGCAATTTTTTAAACTGTCACCTCATTATTATCATTTAATTTTCTTTTTTATTGAATGTCTGCCTCAGTGCTCCCTTCCATTTTCTTTCCCAGCACCTGTTATTTACTCATGCTCAGATGATTAAAACCTGTTTCCAAAGTGCCCTCTCTGTATTCATGTTCCTTGAGCTGCAACCCACCTACATGCCATTCCTTGGATGATCCTCAAGCACAGCTTCCCACATGTTGTCCCTGGCTCAGGACACTTTTGAAATTCCACTATGTGGATGCCGAAGTCCAAATCCCTTTAAACTTCCACAAGCGTTAAACCTTATTCCAGCATCATCACCAAAGCCCCCAGGATACCCTCTGTAGAAGGCCCAATGTCCCTCCTTTCTAGCTATATGTAAAAATAGCCCATTCCATTTCACTTCCGAATTTCTGAACGTGACATTGCCTCCACTTCAATGCTTCCCAAACTTCAGGCCTTCCAGTACCTCTTCATGATATTTCCAACACCAAGTACATCTGAACTACTTTTTACATACTGTTTTCTGTAAAATCCACTCTCATTTTAGCTCAGATAAGTCTTTTAACAGCAAATTTCTATCAGTAACATAAATGGAAAAACCGCTTTCTATTGGAATAAATAGTAAATAACTATAAAAATAAGTGGTTTTCAAAAATTAAGTTATAACTAAATACATCTTGACTGCTAAAATCATCAAGCCTGTTATTGCTCTGTTGTTGTTATGACAGAGGTTTAAAAAAGTGTTAGAAGAATTTTAAAGTCATATTAACAACAACAAAACAATGTCCTTAAAGAATTAAAAGTAATTTGGAAAGTATAATAACTTTCTCACTATGCAACACAAAGTTATTAATTATTATCGATATTGCCTAAAGTCATTCCACATGTAAAAATTTAGGGAAGCACTGCTCTAGATGAGATATTTTCTACATCTTTTTCTGCTGATTTTAACTCTGCATATCCTTCCAGGCATGGCTAAAGGTCCATCACTAACCTCTTGATATTTATATACCATGACCCCACCCCACCCCCTTCCTCTGGCATGCTGGCTACACATTTCTTCTGTGTTTTGGGAAATCACTCCACTCTGCTTTTGAGAGATTCATATACAAGTTTTAAAATTTATTTTTTTCTGATCTCCAGTGATTACAGTTCAAGCAAAGATTTATGGAGACTTTTTTTTATCCTATGATAGCAAGCGTCATATCTTCTAAGGAGTGGGAATTAACCAATAGTGATACCAGGAATGGCATAAGTGATTGATGGATTGGCGCTTCCTCTCTTTAGGTTTTTTATGAGTACGTGTCACCCCTAGTGGACCAGAATCCCCTTAAGGACCATGCCTCAGTCACTCTTTAACCCCAAGTCCAGTTTTAGGATTGCTAAAAGTAATTGTTAAATGAATAAGTGACATTTCCTAGAGAGAGTAGACCATGGAGGGCATTCAACAGCAAAACCAATGCTGCACTTTTAAATAGTAAACTATATTTGTCAAGTGCCTCTGCAGCTTTCCTTCTCTTTTGTTTTCATTCTAATGCTACCCTGGACTTGCTGACATAGTTCCTCAGAGAGTTTTCATTTAAATGTATCACATGTGAAACTCTGCAGACTCATCACAAGTACTGGTTGCTGTCACCAAATGCCATAGAGAATACTTAGTTTTAATAGACAGGTATATGAGTGGTTTTTCAAGAAAATGTTTTCCAAAAAGTCAATAATGACATATTTAATGTTTAAACTAAATAAAACCCTAAATTGTCTTTTGTCCTCCAAATTAGCTAACACATTTTGAGATAAGATGGTGTTTAACAGATCCTGTCTTCATAGTCTTTATTACCTTGAAGACAAAGACACAAAAATAATCTGTTTAATAATAAGCTATAGGGAATGTGAGAAAACTGCAATAAATAATACATATGGCTGTATCTAAAGTTTTCAAGCAAGTTGTAACTAATAATTATGACTTCATAGTTGCTATATCTATACAGGACCCATGAAATCATATTAAAAATAATTATTATGAATTAGAGATAATTGCATAATTAAGTTAAGGAAGGCATAAAAAGAATCACCACAAAGCTCAAGACAACTTAAGAATATACCAGAAATACAAAAAAAAAAGAATATACCAGAAATACATCATAATCATTACTACTTATTGCTATGCAAAACTAGGCGTAAGCGCCTGGCCGGGCGTGGCTCAGCGGTTGAGCGTTGACCTAGGATCCAGGCGATCAGGGTTTGATTCCCGGTCAGGGCACATGCCCGGGTTGCGGGCTGCAGCTGATCAATGACTCTCTCATCATTGATGTTTCTGTCTCTCTCTCTCCCTCTCCTTTCCTCTCTCTGAAATCAATAAAGATATTAAAAAAAAAAAAATTAAAAAAAAAAAAAAAACTAGGTGTAAGCATAGGTGATCCATTATCAGTACTGAAATTAGGACCACTGAAAGTGACTTGGACATTTTTTAAGGAGTCAGGGACACCTTAATATGGGAGGCATCACAATTTTCACTACATTCTCTTTGTCTTCTTTGTAAAAATTATAGTGAAAAACACGTAACATTCTAACCGTTTATAAGTGTACAGTTTAACAGTGTTAAGTACATTTACAATATTGTGCAACCAATCTCCAGAATATCTTCAGTTGCAAAACTGAAACTACACCCATTAAATATTTCCTATTTTTTCCCTTCCTCCACTCACTGGCAACCACCATTCTACTTCATGTTTCTATGAATTTGACTACTCTAGATATCTCATGTAGTTAAATCATACAATATTTTTGTCTCTTTAATTTGTTTTTGAAGTTTAATTGAAACTTAATTAGGAAGAAGCCAAGCTTATCTTCCATCAGTTATTGTCTAACCATCTATTTAGTACAATGCACTATGCTAACTTCACTCTAGTAACCCGATGAAGTGGGTTCTATACCGACTTTGGAAATGAGGAAACTCAGGCTGGACAAAGTGAAGCATCTTGTCAAAGGTCATATATTTAAAGCAAGGGGGCCACTGAGTCCAACTTCGCGTGACTTCAATGCCCACAGTCTTTACAACACACCTGGCTGTCTTTGCAATATTTAAAATTTTCAGAGGATTCCAAACATCTACATATTTGAAGCAAATCAAAGTGGGTTGTTGTTTTTTCACATTTGACTTTGAATGTTGCATGTCTCCCTCAACTTTTTATAAATTATTTTATTATATATCATGTCTCAAGGTATTATTCTATTGCATGTGTCAAAGTTTATTCTAAACCATGTCCCACAAACTCACAGAATATCAATTACCTTCCCTTTTCCCTTTCCAAGCAGGCTCGGGAAGGAAGAAGCATTTAGTTTCTTCAATTGATCTGGAAATGACACAATTTCCTATGTGTGCCATCTATCAATAGTGAACAGAGTATGAATCTTTAAAAACAATACTTACAGTTATGGAAATGAACCCAAGCCTCTTCAGTTCAGGAACATTGTGTTAGTGAATGGAAGTCACTCTATGAAAACCAAGGGCTCTCTTCAAACGTGTCTTGCTCTGTGTGTGGCACAGGAACTGCGGCTCACCTGGGACTAGAAGTCCTCCCCGTGTGGCTCCAGGCTGCCCAACCAGAAACCCTAAAAGGCAGAACTACAACACCCACAATTCGTACTCACCTGAAACCAGGGGAAGAGGGTGAATGGCTACAGTTTCACCCTAGGAAGAAAGAATAGGTAGATGGAAAAGCAAAGCCGTAAGTAAATATGTATATATATCAGGTGGTTATATCTGAGAACAATTCACAAATATTTCTAAAAAAGGAATCAGAAAGTAGTTTAATGTTTGCCAAGAAGTAAGAAGGCGCCCTCAGTGTTGGCAAGAACTAAAATATATTCATGCCAACAAATCCTCATGCAGCCGAGGAACCGGCCCCGCCAGATTCTCGGTCAGTGACTCAGCTGAGGATGCCTCGCAGCTATGGAGCAGGTGTAGGAGGACTTCCCAGGTGAGGACTTCAAAGCTCCTGCATCAGCACTGTGGCTGTCACTCGAAGCTACAGACATGATGGAGACCTTTTAGCTGTCATCTTCCAAAATGTCCCGGATTTTTTAAAGTGTGCTTTTTAAAATGTGAGACAATAGAACACTTGTTGATATTTCCTTCCATTTTCCTTTCCATTTCCTCATTGTTTATATTTTCCTTCTGTATAATCCAGCATTACTTCTGATTGCTCAAAATTTAGGAACAAGAAATTTGGAGGGGAAAAAGGGAAAAATACATTTTAAAACTTGGGTAAAATGAAAGTTGCAATAATTGTTTCACTTCTTTGCAACATCAGGAACAGAATGTTAAAAACAAACAAAAACTAAGATAAGTGTTTCCTCTGTGTCTTCATACAGCCATGTCCTCATAAAGGCTGTCTCCAGCCTTTATTTTCTGTTAGACACAGCCCAGAGAATGGATACAGACAAGGTCTTGGCTTGGCTGGGCCCAAAAATGTCATGGGAGGATTTGTTAAAGTAAGAAGAGCCCAGAATAATGACAAAGGAGAGATTTCTTTCCGTTTTCTGTACTTTCTCTCCTTCCTCTCTACATGCCACCTCCCTGAGAAACACTGGGGCTTCCTGCTGCCCGACCCACTTGATCCACCCAGAGCTCCCTTAACGTTTCCCCTGGGTTGCCCCACCTTCCAAACTGAACCCCTCTATCTTCCCTTGTCACGGCCCCTCCATCTCCTGTCGGGAACCCAACGCTCCCCTAAGTCACTGACACTCCTTTCAAAACAAATGGTTCCCTGTTTCCACGCACCTTACAGATCCTGTTCCCCACGCAGTGTCTTCTCCCTGAAATGTTTTTGCAGCCTTTAGGGAAGCTTCAGATCCTTTCTTTCTTTCAAAGCTTAATGAGAAAACGCTTCTCCGAGAAGCCTCCGCAGTTGGCCTTGATTTCAATTATTCTCTCCCAGCTAATAAATTCCTCAGGACTTTCCCGAGCCTCTTATTGCTATGACTTACTTTATTTTTTTAAATATATTTTTATTGAATTCAGAGAGATGAAGGGAGAAGTAGAGAGAGACAGAAACATCAGGAATGAGAGAGAGTCATTGATCGGCTGCCTCCTGCACGCCCCCTACTGCAGGTAGAGCCCGCAAACCGGGCATGTGCCAGACCAGGAATCGAACCGCGATCTCCTGGATCCTAGGTCGATGCTCAACCACTGAGCCATGCGAGCCAGGCTCATAACAGATTTTATACCTTGTTTCATTGTTGTGTTTGTATGTGTATACACTCAGGCAGCATTACCTTCCTATTTGAAGGCAAGACCTTATTTGATTCCCACCTTACTAACTCAGTAATTTACATGTAGATGTTTCTGATAAATAATCAATGAATGAAATAACTGAGATATTAACTCTAAGCTGGATTCTAATACCTAATACCATATTTATCTCTCTCAGAGAACATTTGCACTTTCAAAATTCTCTACACAGTGTTATCAGAATTCCCCTGTGATGTAGTCAGGTGTGACCTCTACAACCTTATTTGCATAAAGGTAAAGTATGAAATCTATCATTTTAACCCCTGACAGTTCCGAAATGAAGCCCCTCATGGATTAGTACTCATGGTTTCACCAGCTCTGCCTCGTGCTGTGTACTTGGCTTTCTAGCACCTTCCCAATGACTGGCCCTCAGTACCATGAATGCACCGCAAAGAGCTGGCCTTGCCTCCATCTGTGAGTTTCCGATCATCAGCTCCAGTATTTCTGGTTTCCTTCCCCTTTATTCTAATCTCCTGGCTCTGATGTCCAAACTCTGCCCTTTGCACTCCTGTAAATAGTTCTTAATCACTGATCTCTCCCACCCAGGGAGGAGAATTCTCCCAGCAGTTAGTTCTTTACACCTCTGCTTCTACAGGATTCGCCTGGTCCTCACACACTCAGCTGTGTCTTCCAGCTGTCAGCTACCTGGCCAGAAGTGAACCTTCTAGGCACTGCTGACACACAGATTTCTGTGGACCATCAGACTCGAAGACAGGCTAGTGTAGGAGACTGCTGTCTGGAGGGTCCTGCCAATCCATCTCTATTATAAGGACTGCTAGCCCCTTAGCCTGCCTGTGTGAATATAATCTAAGACATTTGAACTTGGGCGTGGGATTCATCCCCAACACATAGTTCAGGGCTGCTTCCATAAGGAAGTCTTTTTTGACCCTTTATCTTTTCCTTGCCCCTTATATGTTACTTGTACTGAGTTATATGGTTGTCAGACTGGGTTGATATACTTTGTTCATTTCTCCCCTGAAATAATGATCGTTTGCAGCCATGAGATTTATTGTACCTAAATAATAACTAAAATGTTGACATCTGTTATTTCTTGACAGATAGAAAAAGGGTGTGGAAAGCCAGCCCCTTCTACCCCAGTATGTGGGGAGAAGAAAGCCAGAGGTTGGCTGGAGCCCTAAGGGGGCTTCAGTAGAAACACACTGTAGGTTCAGCCACACAGAATGCACCACTGTGTGCTCTGTGCCTGGTTGGGAGAGCTAATCAGGGACTAATTCCACGTCTATCAGTGTGGGAATGTGAAGGTGCCAAGAGGTCCAGTGGACCTGCAAATGCCAGAGGTTGGGACAAAGAGGCTACACTATGCCTTCAAGCCTCCAGAAAAATGGTAAGAATCATCCATCAATGGATGGCACGTTTGTACAATGTTCCAAAAGGCCTGCTGGTCATGCACCAGAATCAAACCAGACTCCTCCACAGCAGGTGAGCAGCCAGGAACCAGACGGCATCACATGGGCTTCAGACCCCCTTCTTTCCCGCATACCATAATGCTACATCTCGTCTCCTACCACACACTTGGGGGCAATCTTGGGGAGAAGCCGATCAAGGGGAGAAGAAAATGGAAGGCCGGGAATTAAGGAGTCACCCAGAAGCTCAGTTAAGCTGAAAGAGACTGTGATGTACTAAGTTGTGAGTTTAAAATCTGCTTCACCCATTTACACTGTAATGGTGACAATCAGCAAGGAAGCTGAAATGCCAGTGACTCACTGTCAGGCCGGCCTGATAGATAAGGGAGAAGCGAAGCACTTAGAATGGCTAATCGGACACAACTATCTGGGACCTGGAATTAGAAACTGGCGACACAAGGGAGCAGAGACAGAAGAGAATCCATTCTTGTGGTGAACAAAAGCAGTTGTGCAAACAATGCCCTGCTCGGAAGTGGCTGTCTCGGCGAGGGAGAGTGCAGTCCAAGGCTTTCAGTGGTGGTCATACAAATTGTGGCTTCTAGGGCCTAGTACAAACAACTAATTTATCCACTAGCTTTTCTGTATTTTGATGGCTGCTCTGGCTTCACAAGCCTTGTGCCTGATTCTCCAGCTTTCCCAGCAATCGTGGAACTGGAGCTTGGTGTATTTTTCTTCAATTTATATTAGCCAAAGTCTTTTACTATTGCTTGGAGCTAAAAACTCTGATACCTCTAACACAGCTCTTACCTCACTGTAACAGATATCACTTCTGCCTACCCCACTGTATTTAGACTCCATCAGATCAAGGACTGGATTTTATTTAATCTCTACCTAAAAGCTCCCCAGTGCCTGGCCATGGTACATATTTGTTGATCTAAATTGGAATGGCCAGTAAAATGAGGAAGTCTTGCTTAAAGTTCCTTCTAACGTAAAATTCTCCGACCACATGGAAGCTCTTAGTTGCTTATTAAAGCAGAGGTAATTTTTTTCTCTTAATGCCACAGCTGTGTTGAAAATTTAGACTTTATCTCTTATCTGCACCTAATAGGGGGCAAAGCAAGTGACTATTTGCACCCAAAGGAGGAAATAAAACACACAAAAAGTGGTTTAAATATGCCCGGGGTGTTACTTAATCAAAAGGGGATTTTCCTGCTTCCTTCAATGACCTATGTTAAATGTCACTCATGTTCAGTCCCTGTAGTAAAAACATACCAGAAAGAGTAATAGGAAACAGCCATATTCCCCAAATGCTCAGATTTTCCCCAGTATGAGGCTATCTTGGCCACATTTGCAAGCTTCTAAGTTCCCCCTGGAGTTTTTCTCTGTCCTGTTTCAGTATGTATTGACCCTCAGACCCCTTGGCTGGCTGTCTATGACATCCGTTTTCTGGTTCATTTTGTCCCTGAGTCATGATCACACTGTAACTTTCCAAAAATAGTTAATGGTGGTGCCATTTACCAGTTAATTTCAGCGAATAGCTCAGATCATAGTAAAATGTTAGGGCCAAAGTTAACTTAGGTCAGGTTGATCTTATTTCCCTAGATTAAGAAAGTGAGCCAAGTTGTTCTTACAATTTCATATTTTCCTGCATTACATCTTTCTGGCTCTTTACTCAACCATAAGATGAATCATCCATAATTGACCTCCACCAAGCTGTAGTTTAGAAGTTCATCGCTGTTTTCTTTCATTCGCTGCTTTCAGGTTAACACAAGGACGTATGTGCCAACTCCGCATGATCATAGATGTTTCCATGCTGCCCTTTTCCTA